ATTTGCCACTGACGATTCAAACGCGAGTTTTGAGCAGTGTAGAGTAGCACTTGTTGTTTGTCGTTTCACTAGACATGGTTTTATGTTTACGCAACGCAACGCGTAAAAAGACAGTATAAGTGATTATAATCCGTAATTATGTCCCCACTGGATGCAACAAATGCCTCGTTTGTAATGGGTTTTAATGTTTTTGTCTCATCGCTCACGACACGGCATCACAATATGGTGAGGGGCGTAACATTTCCGTCACATGCTTGAGGTATTCGGCCAATCACAATGCACTGGATAGCTGGCCAATCAGAGCACACTTTGCTTTTCAGACCGATGAGCTTTGTAAAAATCGACGCGTTTCAGAAAGGCGGAGAAACATAGAGGAGGAACAATAATATACAGTATGTGGAAAATAATGTGTTTTTTTGAAACTTAAACCGCATAAACATTGCATTACACCAAATACACAACATAATGTTCTTTTTAGCAACATCATATGACCCCTTTAAAGGAGCACTTTAAAGGGGCGGAGTTATCAAAACAGGGGCGAGGTTCTGTTGGGGTATGGGCGTGTTTGTTTTGGTGCTTTCAAATATCAACATCGTTTGGCAAAAATCGCTCAGTGCACCTTTAAGGCTTAATATAATTTAAACGGATGAGTTATAAAAAAAAATCACCCACCTCACAGTTGTCATGAAGGGCAAAATTTGCTATATAGACCAAAACCACTTTTTGAGCCAGGCTGTAAACATATTTTTTTCTGCTGTAAAGTTGGGCATTTTAACATGGGGAGTCTGACTCCCTTTTGGTCTCTAGCGGCCAGTCGATGAATTGCAGTTTAAGTCACCTCCGTGTTGGATTCAAGATAGAGACCGGAAGCTTGCCGCTTGCCGCTTGCTCCACACGGATGCTGATGATGAAATGTAGATTTTTTATTTTTTATTTTCAGAAAATGGATAACTAAAGCATACTTTCATCACTGTGACAAGGTTTAAGGTTGCTATCAGTTTTTGATAATACATTCCTTCTTATGTGACCTTTGTGTCATTGTTTTCCGCAGTTTGAGCAGTTGTGATGTCACAGATGAAGGTTGTGTCGCTCTGGCATCAGTTATGAAATCAAACCCCTCACACCTGAGAGAACTGAACCTCTCATGGAATAAACTAAGAGACCCGGGAGTAAAGTTGCTCTCTGGTGGATTGGAGAATCCTCACTGTAAACTGGAGACATTGTGGTAAGACGAAAAAGACCTGAAAAGGTGCAGTAAGAAGGCAAAAAGAAGTGATTAATATAATTAATAATTTAAGATTAATAAAAATGATCAAGCTTATAATTTTTCTGTCTCTCTTAACTTATTTTACCGTTACTATAAATGTGATTGGAGGAATATCAGTTATTTTCATACCAAACTGAGATTTCAGTAAATGGCTTTCTACATATTGAAACTGAGGAGTGTGTCATTGTTCTCTGCAGGTTCAGTGATTGCAGTGTCACATATCATGGCTGTGCTGCTCTGGCTTCAGCTCTGAGATCAAACCCCTCACACCTCAGAGAACTGGATCTGACTAAAAATAAACTGACAGACTCCGGAGTGAAGCTGCTGTCTGATATAAGGAATAATGTTGATTATAAACTGGAGACACTGCGGTGAGTAACTAACGTAACTATTATGTGACTTAATGAGCAGTAAGTGTATGTGTGCAGTAAGTAAGTACAGGTGTAAATTTGGATTGTATTATATTGGGTTGTATTTGTATACAGTTTGATGGATGTGACTGTGAAAAGCATTAAATTAAATGTGTCTTTTTTGTAATAACAGGTTTTAGATGGCAGTCTAATCTCATCAGAACCAGTTAATGGTGATAGAAGCCACTTCAGAGAATCCACAGTCAACAGAAAACACTGGAGACAGTGAACCCAATGTGTGTGAATTCTTGAAAAGTTAAACACTATTCTTGTGTTGATCATTAGATGCAAGCCTATTAAAACTTTTCAAAACTGCACACAGTGCAGACTCTACACCATGTGCTCATTTAAAGAATACTAGCATCCAACGGCATTTAAATCTATTGTAAATTCATGTTCCAGTTATTTTTTTAGTATTTTTATATTTACTTCAGAATATTAATTATAAGAATGCAATAACAGTTTTAAGATTTTGTAAATTTTATTTGTGAACTGGAGTTCAGACGGTGGGTGAGTTATGTTTTGTTTGATTTGCAGATGCAGAATGCTGGTGTCACTGTTGAATATAGTGTCACTTTAGAAAAAAATTGTGATTTATACACTCTTAAATTCCATATTTCTTAAAGGGGTCATATGATGTGATTTCAATTTTTCCTTTCTCTTTGGAGTGTTACAAGCTCTTGGTGCATAAAGAAGATCTGTAAAGTTGCAAAGACTAAAGTCTCAAATCCAAAGAGATATTCTTTATAAAAGTTAAGAGTCAGCCACGCCTACCTAAAACGGCTCGTTCTAACACGCCCCCACATGTCTACGTCACGATGTGGGAAGATTTGCATAACGCCGCCCAAATGTTCACGCAAAGAAAGAAGGCGTAACTTTTATTCTCGCTGTAGTATTGTTGTTGCCACCACCATGTCGTGAAGGTGCTGTGTGCTTCGTTGTGAAAGTGAAACTACTTTGTTTGGTCTTCCAAAAGAGGACGATATCTGCTTCGTCATGCCTAGAGCTGATCTGTGCTGGTCACTGAGGAAATACATCAACTTCACGCTGTGGATCACCGGATCGGCTTTCACCGTGGAGGAAGCGGAGTCCAGCCCGGGGTCGTCACATGTGGTTGCCACAAGCCCGCCGGACGCTCCTTTGTTGAATCCGTCGGCCGCGCCGTTCTCAAGCCCACCGGCCTCCGCTCACTCTAGGCCGCCGTGTGTGACACTGTGTTG